CAAGACACCTTTTGAGGAATAAAGGTTGACTTTTGGAAATAAAACCACTTGGAAATATTGGCCTGGTGCCTTGTTTACAGGGACTCCAGCTATCTTACCCAGTAAGTAAGGAAGGTCTTATCTAGCAGGCACCTGGAACCTTGAAATATTTTGGGGAACCTCGAGAAGAGAGGAATCCACCCAAATCTGTAGGTATTGCAGGTGAAATCTGATGATAAGTCCTTGGCTTGGGTTTTCTGGCTTTGAGAGGCTTTTAAAGTTCAATCTAAGATTCCTCATAAAAAATTCCAGCAAAGCAGATTTAAAAGAGCCTATATTATCAATGGCTATTCTTGCTGTATTTGTGTAAACAATTGGGCAAAGTTTATTAAAATTAAACTTATTTTGCAAACCAGTTAGTCTTAATTTGGCTAACTTTTATAAAAATGAGGGTGATTTTAGGGAGACAAATTATGTTTCAATAAAAACTATAGTACACATTCATGGATAATTAGGTTCTAGTTCTGATAATGGTCTTTGAGATTTTTGTTTTATATCTGTTAACTGGATTAGATCCTGAATTCTTCTAGACTCTTGAAATATCTGGCTACAAATCTCCAAACTAATGTTTTCAATTTTTTCCCATCATTTTCACTTGGAATCACTGAGAACTGAACCTGGCCTTTTCCCTGAAGCCTTGCAAACTGAAGCTGGATAACTTGAAATAAACTTAACAGAGATTCATGTATGTTACTGTGTAAGATACCTGAACACCTGATGACATCATTAGGGACGTTTCAAACTGCAAAGGATGCTTCGACTCTGACACTTAGAAATCTTTTAGACTGGCTGCTGCTGGGGCTCATAGAGGTTTATAATTTGCTGGTTTATAATTTGCTCCCACCATTAAACTTGTTTTTCTTTTGGTCCCTCTAGAAATCCTTATTAAATACCTACTTACTTGCTCACACAATATAGGCCTAACTTTGGGAGTCCACTTGCATCACCGTCTTACTAAGAGACTGGTCCAATGAGATGGAACAACCTATGACCCACACCAATAGGATATCCCTGAAGCTTGAGGATGAACAACAATATGGGGAATTGATACTGGCTCAACACAAGGTTGACATAAGGGAGGCCATACTGTAGAAAAGAAACCATATTGTAACTTTGAATGACCTCTGATTAACTAATCCAGACATGCTCTGTAGATTTTAAGGACCCTCCCAGCTGCTATAAGTTAATAACTTTGTTCTTTTGAATTCCGTAGGAATGTGATGACCCCCAGGCATGGAGTCTATGCTGATAGCCATCATCAATGACAATTGAAAGATCAGGGTATAGGGCATTGCTCTGGTCTCTGATGCACATCCAGTAAAACAAAAGACTATCAGGAACTGAGACCAGATATCTGCCCCACCTGGAGATCAGATGGAGGCCCCACTGGATTAGGTCTATTTTTCAAGGACTGTTAAAATTTGGGTTGTCTATACTTCTTATCCTTCTGGTCTAATACCGGATTATAAAATGTGACTTTAGATGTTGTTCCAAAACTGTTGAACAAGGTACAAAATTCTAATCATACAAAATGTCAACATGAAGCTGGGAACAAGAGAATATTTCCAAACGAGTGCTAAACCGGTTCATTCCTCTAACCCAGATCTATGCCCCAGTTCACCAGGAAGTAGCTAGATGGGTCATTGCCCTGAATCCCTCAAGAATGAGAAATATCAAAGAATAGGAGGGATTGAAACTGGCCAACAGTTAGCCATTGATGATTAAGTAGCTAGGAACTAAAGTTTTTTTCCTTTTTGCAATTACTGATTATAGCTTTTAGTTGTTCCCCTGCCCATTGTTAACTGTGCTGTTTAAGCAATATACTGACTCCCACTAGGTTCCTACAGATAAAATCTCTCTGGAGCCTGGGTCACCATGGTAAAGGGCATTTGAGCTTTTCTTCAGAAATTAGAACCCCTTTGTCCACTCCAGGCCAGTTGAGACCACCAACTCATCAACTGGGCCCATGCAAATGTCCAATGGGCGACCTTTTGACATTAAGAGGCTGAAAACTCCTCCCTTTGATCATGCTAATGCTGTCATTTTGTCAGCACGTGTCCTACGAAGAGGAGTGGAGTCTGACTGTGCCTGTGCACATCATCATTACCTCACCTCTCCTCCCCTCCAATCTCCTACCTCCACATTTCAGACCATGTTGCCCCTCTCTCCCATAAATATCCCCGAGTTCCCATTTTTGGGGAAGTGGATTTGAGACTCATGCTCTCGCTTCCTCACATGGCTGCCTTGTGATTAATCTCTCTCTGCTGCAATCTCACTGTCCTGGTCTTTGGCTTTCCCAGTGGCCATCAAAAACAAATCTGGTGCAGTAACACACGGGCCTGCTCTTGTGTGAGGGGGTGTGCATAGCTGATAACAAACTTGATGGTGAGAAGAGGAAGATGATTGGCTGAAAGTGGATTTCCCAGTTGACAGGTAAGTGACCTGCCCAGGCAACACAGTCTGCGGAGACAGAGCCAAGGTCTCCTGACTGGGAATGCAGTGCTTTGCGTACTGCTGCTGTTCCAGCTCCATTTTTAAGAGTGTTTCTGGGCATACTCCTTGTCCCCACTCCCAGTCCCCACAGGACTGTGACTGTCTACTCCTAGTTCCCTGACAGGGGTCTGAGTTATTCATTTGCTTTTTTTTTTTTTTTTTGAGGAAGATTAGCCCTGCGCTAACATCTGCTGCCAATTCTCCTCTTTTTGCTGAGGAAGACTAGCCCTGAGCTAACATCCGTGCCCATCTTCCTCTACTTTATATGTGGGACACCTGCCACAGCATGGTGTGCCAAGCAGTGCCATGTCCGCACCCGGGATCCGAACCGTCGAACCCTGGGCCACCAAAGCAGAACGTGTGAACTTAACTGCTGCGCCACCGGGGGAGACCCTTCATTTGCTTTTTAAGGTTTGCTGTATGGGATTTTTTCCCAAATGGCTTTCGTTTTACCACCGCAACCCCTAATAGTCTCTGCAAAGAAGGGTAAACACTTTGCTAGTGAAAAGTTTTTGGTTTATATCACCTTTTATTTTATTATAGTCCACAAATACACTTATATGTAAGTGAAATTATTACAGAATTCATATTTTGAGGCACTATGTCTCCAAAGTTAAGGAATCTACTGTACTTTGCTCTAATTTCAAACATTAAAACGTGAGAAGTAAACCTGCCAACTTAATATTCAACTTGAAGCTTAAATTTAGTAGAATAAATTAATTATGCTTGGAAATCTCAAGTAAGGAATTAACAGGCTTGAGGCTGAACTAATAATCTTGACCTGGTTTGATTATCACCCGGTTTATTCTTATTACTCATTTAGCTTCTTTATTTACAAGTCTAAATGGAATGCAAATTCTCCCTACAGAGGGTATAACAGAGCTGCTCACAGAAGAGGCCCTTCCAGTCAGTCTCTCTTGCTGTAAAATGCTAATCTCTCACGTCTTGAGCCTCTTACTGAGCAGTGAAGGTTTGTCTGCACACAATCTATTTCTCTTTTGGCCAGGATTTTCTTTGGGGTCCGGGGTGCCATCACTGAGCAATTCTGAGGGTGCTTCCTTAGGCATCTGCAAGACAGGGCACAAACTCCAGCTGGCACTCCCCCTCCCACCCGCCAGCCTCTGCAGGGCTCATGCTGCAGGCCAGCAGACACCCACAGCCCACGGGAGGACGCAACACAACACAACACAACTATACTGCCCAAATACTGCCCAAACCCTGATTAGCATCTTCCACTGACATCTGAAGTGCCATGTCCACTTAAAATGTGGGACTCCGAGCCACAATTTCAGAAACGTGTGTTAACTGCTAACTCCACGTAGGTCTTCCCCCGGTGAACCCCTGTTTCTGGAAGCCCCTTTTCAATGCCTGCCCAGTCCTCACAGCTGGATTCTGTCCTAGACAGATAAACTACTCTTGAAGAGCAGATAATCGTTGATTTCCACAATTGGTTTGTGTTGTACCGAAAGACAGAAGCAGTCCTGTTAGCGATTTGTTTGCTCCCATTCAAACGGCCTACTGTTTTCATCAGGCAAAGGGCTTTGCTGACTGCACTGAACCCCAAGGCACTGAGTGTTCCTTTATGCGTGGAAGTCATAAACAAACAACAAATTATGCAACGAAGCCTCTCAAGGTTTTGCCTTTCTGTTTCTGTTTTCCCGGGAGCTCTTTCTCACACCCTGGGCGGCTCAGGGGAGGATGGGAGGCCTCTGCTGGAAGCACGCCAATGCAGAACTAGGCCACTCGGGGCCAGATGGTGCCCGGCCCTGCGGCCACTCGGAAGTTCCACTTCAGTTCACTCCAGGCCGGACTCTGGTGTCTAGGGCCATGCTTCTAACGCTGCTGCTGACCTTAAAGCGTGGAGTATGGGAGTCCCAGGCAGAGCCAGGCGGCCCTCGGAGCAGCAGTGCGGCGTGTAGGACGCTCACCATCATCTCTCTCTCTGTTTTGCGGCCCCCTTTGCGGGCCGAGGTTTGCTTGGTTGTTTTTTGGTGTGAGAATGATCCTTTAAGAATGGTTCTTTGGCTTTATTTCTTTCAAGTGGCATGACACTGCCTTGAAATTTAATTGCGCACTCAAAATTACAACAGTAAGCCAACCCTAGTGAAGGTGGGCTTTATTCTAAAGGTCACTGTACAATTTCTTTTTTTTTTTTTTAGATTTTTATTTTTTTCCTTTTTCTCCCCAAAGCCCCCCGGTACATAGTTGTATATTCTTTGTTGTGGGTCCTTCTAGTTGTGGCATGTGGGACGCTGCCTCAGCGTGGTTTGATGAGCAGTGCCATGTCCGCGCCCAGGATTCGAACCAACGAAACACTGGGCCGCCTGCAGCAGAGCGCGCGAACTTAACCACTCGGCCACGGGGCCAGCCCCAGTCACTGTACAATTTTTTTAAAAATTTGCATTCCCTTTTCTTAAACTCCCGAAGTTTTTAACTTTTACCCTAAAAATAAAGCAGCAGACTCTTACCTTTGTTCTGCACGGCGTGTTCTCAGGGACCACACTCTCCGTTTGGGCTCCGATGGCTTCTTCTAAAACTACATCAAGGAAGATACAATGGAGCAGACAGAATAACATAAGAGTCTTTAAAAAAAAAAAGATAAAGCTTTTTGGTATCTATAGGAATACCCTGAAAAATAGAGAGATAAATGTGTTAAAAAATGTGTCACGATTAAAATTGCTGCTTTTAAACTTTTATTGTAGCATTTCAGCATTCTCATGCACAAGCGGCACGGGGCCTGTGTTGGCTATGCCTGTTCACTTTACTCAAAGGAAGTTCTTCGGCCCAGCGTGATAATGCTGAAGCTCTGAGTTTTTTAAGCAATAGTGAGGGATTTGCCCCAGCCCCTCATCTTTCTTCCACCTGGCCCTTCAGGGGACAGGGGACATGCAAGTGGGTGAGGAATCCTACCAGGTTTGGGTGTGAACATACGCTTGGTCCAAAGACGGTGACGCATTACAGGCAATTTGGGCTGACCCTCAAATTTCCAAACCTTAATTACCCATTTCCTAAGCTATTTTGGTTCCTGGCTTCTCAGCCTTATCCTAACCCTAAAAGGTGAGAAGGGAGCAGAGAAGACGAATCTTAAAAATATAACTAAAGCAACCACAAACTTTCTAACATTTGACAGTGCTTTCTGTTTTTCAACATAGTTTTACATCTCTGGTTTACCTTCTATCTCAATTTATGCTCATAACAGAAAAATAAATTAACCTAGTTATATAATATAGGTAAACAAAAGATAAATTCCTATGACGGGCTGTAATTCTGAGCAACAAGCAATAGCCCTCAAATGAAATATACACAAACAATTCAGCATACAGTAAACAACTATTAACCTAAAGCCCATAATTTGTATTAATAACGTCTCATGTATTTTCATGGTACAATGCTGAAATATTATATGCTGCATAATTTGTGGTGCACGGTATAACGCGGACATGCAGTTTTTTTAAACAAGTGAAAATAAACCATAAAAATAAAACCGTGTGCCACTTCAGTAAAAACTGAGATGTGGAGTGGTGTAGGTACAAACAGGAGATTTTGATTCCACTGGATCCACGTAGTTATTGTTGTTCAGCTATCTTTTTCTAGTTCTAAAGACAAAGTCATACATTCACTTCTGCCCTCCTTCGCCTCTGTCATGAACGACAAGATGCACAGTCAGGCAGGACCAGGCCGGGGCTGGGGTGGGGAGCAGGGAGGCTGGGGGGGCAAGGAGGCATCTTCAAGGTCTGCGCACTGACCTGTCAGAACCCCGTCCAGCTGGTCCACCATAAACTTGGCATCTTCTTCCGTGAAGCACATGGGCGGTTTTATTTTAAGCACGTTTCTGTGAGGTCCGTCGGCGCTGAGAAGCACTCGATTTTCCTTCATCCTAATTAGTGCAGGAAATACGTATGAGTGGATACAAATAGTCACTCAGATGATTTCAGAATGGCCAGAACGCACGGCGGGTGAGTATTCGCTCGCAGGAGGCCCACACTTAGAAACTGCACGCATCTTGCCCTCTCCTTATTCGGAGAGATGATGGGAAGGAAGAAAAGCTTTCACGGGGGTGGGCATCCCAGAACCCAGATACCCAGCGGGTGGGGAGCCCTTACTTGTAGATGACGTGCTGAGCTTCCGCTGTGGCTGGGGTCCTTTTCTGACGGTCTTTCACTAAGTCAATGCCGACAAAAAGGCCAACGCCCCTGGGGGAGGTGAAGCAAGAACTCTTGACAAACATTCTTTGCACTGTCACAAAAAATCAACACTGTCCCCAAACTTCAGTTTAATTTGAAGCTGAATGTTCTTCCCTTTAAGGGTAACTGTTATTGATCCTAATTAATTCAAGATACTAATCCAGTGCCTACGGCTCTTTCCAATTTTTGAACCAAATTAGTTTTTGTCACCCATTTAATTGTAAAAAAAAAAAAGGCTTAAAACAACCTTTTCATGATATTTAGTTTCTCAGCACCTTAATGATGATAAATGTTTATTGTTTATATATGTCTACGAAAAAAATTGAGTTTTCCAGGATATCATTTTAAATAATTCTTAATAGATCATTGTGAGTTACTTTAAGTTCTTGCTTTTCATCTTTTGGGTGGTGAAATTACCCCAGTTTTATTTTTTAAAAACAGTATAAAAGTCAGGAAAGACATACACCCAAAAGTTGACAGTGGGGATATCTTGGTTCTGGATTAAGAGTGATTTTTGTTTTCTATGCTTTCCGGGGTTTTCTAGACTTGGTTTTATGTAATTTATTTTAAATTTATAAGATAAAATATAAGCTATTTTCATTTGGAAAAATGAATAACTAGCAGACCCCTTCATGATCAACACACCTGACATCTCCGATCAGTGTGTGCTTAGCCTTCTGCCTGTTCAGTAACTCGGTGAGGTAAGTCCCCACCCTCGTGGCGTTCCCCTGAAGGTCTTCGTTCTCAATCACATCTAGGACGGCCAAACCCACGGCAGAGGACACTGGGTTTCCTCCATACTGCAGAACCAAGACAAAGGAATAGTTGAATTAACGGCATTGCTTCCTCTATGAGATATTTGGCTCATATGTAAGCAAGCGAAGATACAGTTTTAATAAAACTTTTGCTCGTGATGTTCGTTTCTTAGATTTAGAACATAGCATGATTCTGTTCATTCAGGATTGAGTGAAAATTCATTCCAAATTATATTCTGTATGCTGCATAATGGGTATGAAGGACTGTCAGGGAATTTCCTGGTTCATCTAAACAAAAGCAGACATTGTATTGGGAATTAAAGATTTCAGAGCGTGGTTTAGTGAGGGGGATACAGCTTTTTGCCCCTAAATAGTTGTGTGAAAACAGCTAAACAATGACATTTTCTCCAAATAATTTATGTCCTTATATTTGAATCTTACATTTAGTTGTTAACAAGTCCTATTGTACACACTGCACAAACTATAATAATTTTTCTAAGCTTAAAGCTTATGACATTTGGGGGTAAAACCAAGGAAATAAAATTTCCCAAAGATAGAAATTTAGTAAGTCCAATGACAGCCATATAACATTTATAGAAGTGAATCTAGATACTTTAGAAATGTTGGGGAATTTAAATGTGACAGAAAACCAAGAAGATCATATCATCTATGAATGAAATACCATAACCTGTAGAGTTTAGCAGGGCAGCTGCCTATGATTGGACAATTAATAAGAACATTTTAGGAAGGGGAAAGACACACGAGGAAAAATAAAGGAGGATTGTGCCAGATAGAATGAAATACAGTAGATCAAAGTTTGGCTGGGGTCCTGGGGTGGGCAGCAGGAAACACCGAGCTTTATTTTACTACATCGGCAAGAAGTGCAAGAACATGCATTATTTTTCCCTCTCAGCATTAAAGTTGGAGACCAAAATTTACCGTATTGAAATACTCCATCCCAGAGCTGCTGAAGGCTTCTGCAATTTCTTTGGTTGTTACTACACATGCCATTGGGTGGCCATTGCCCATGGGCTTCCCCATTGTGACGATGTCTGGAACAAAGTCTTTGCCATGCATTTGGAAGCTCCAGAAATGTTTCCCAACTCGGCCAAAGCCGACCTGAACTTCATCAGCTATGACCACACCCCCTACTCCGCGTACGTACCTGAAAGGCAAAGGGGCAGTCTAACGCGTCCAGGCACTGGGAGTGCCCAAACCCACCCACAGAGATACAGATGACTGAGGACTTAGAAGAATGTTGTTAACCTGAAGCCTGTAACCTTTGTCAAAAATATTTCAGTGCTCAAAACCCCCAATGACATTTATGTGATGTCATTGACTTTGACATGTAATCACATGATTTCCAGATTAGATATACTCTACATTGCTTGGGTTTGTGCTGTTTAAGTAGGCAATACTGAAGTATTTTAAGTGGCAAGAGAAAGAATTGAACAAGTAGTAGTTTTTAGCAGGTTTAATCTTCAAATTTTTACTAATTGGTAAGGCTTGGGCACCAGCCAATCAGAGGTTGCCAGGCGGGTCGGGACCAGAGTTTTGGAGGCCCTCCTGCTGAACCCTGTGCAAACCCTTTATTTGCTGGACCTTGGGAAGGTGGAGGACTTCCTGGAGCCCTGGGGCGGCAGGTACTCTGAAGTGGATATTTGCCAGCTAGTCTGGAAGTACTTCAATATTTTAACAACCAGTATGGCCCTACAGAATTGTCCCAGTGCCCTTAGTCTCACCAAGGGTGCCCAAATCAAGTACATACTCTGCCACTTTCTGGAAGTAGCCTGCTGGAGGAATTATCTGTCCGCCACAACTCTGCATGGATTCAGCAATAAAGGCAGCAATCTATACAAGAGAAGATGGAGTCAAAGTCCATTAGGTCCTCCTCCTACCCCCAGAAAAGAGGACGTCTGACAGAGCAGATTATTTAAAGAATGGCTGGGGGGCTGGCCCGGTGGCGCAGTGGTTAAGTTCACACGTTCCGCTTCAGCGACCAGGGGTTCGACGGTTCGGATCCCAGGTGCAGACATGGCACCGCTCGGCAAGCCATGCTGTGGCAGGCATCCCACATATAAAGTAGAGGAAGATGGGCACAGATGTTAGCTGAGGGACAGTCTTCCTCAGAAAAAAGGAGGATTGGCAGCAGATGTTAGCTCAGGGCTAATCTTCCTCAAAAAAAAAAAAAAAAAAAAAAAAGAATGGCTGGGAATGGACCTGTGGTAAGTGGTAAATAGGCCATTTGATTAAAAAAAAAAAAAAAAAAAGATGTCTATGCCGGAAAAGCAATTGATCTGAAGCATTGGTTTCTGAAATTCTAGGGTACCAGTGAAACTACCATGAGAAATGGAGGAGAGGGCGCCTTCTATTTCTCCAAGTTTAATTTAAATGCAGTGTTTTCATTAGTATCAACTGAATAAGACTGATATTTTGATCAGTCTTTGAGATGAACCTCTAAAAAATTACCCAGGTTCTAACCATCTTCCTGTGCGGCCTGTTTGCTCAGGTTGGTGAAACAGGACTGCCTGAGCCTGGAACCTGCATAAGGACGGGTTGGGTGACTTGTGGCCACACACCTAAGTTACTGTGCTGTATTTCTAAGTCTAGCCCTGACCCAGACTTAACTCAACAGAATTAGGCAATTCATAACAGGAACCTCAGAGAAAGTGTTCCAGGGGCCGCTTCTGCTTCTATGAAAGGAGCAGTAGAAATAGGTAAGACTGAATGAAGAAGAGAATACAAACAAATAGGATGAGATATGAAGGCAAGAGAATCAGGGTTCTCGTCCAGACGTCCTCTGATTACTTTGGCTTAAGTCCTTCACTTTAAAATATTTCATTTGTTAGCTATAAAATGAGGCCGTTGGACTCAAGAGATTGCTTTCTAAAATTCCATGATTTTAACATTCTGAAGCATCCATCTTATATTTGCTCATTGCTTTCAGCATTGTTAACATGACATCAATTCAGTAACAACTGAATGCCAATGTTCTCAAAGAATTATCCAAATCCTTTGAACAGTGAAAAGACCCTATGATCTTGGTAATATAAATTTTTTTCTGGAAGAAGTGCTTACTGTTCACAGGCTACGTTTGAAGAGGAAAAGGGTTTGAACAGCTAGAGCTTAGGGCTACCTGCACAGATATGGCATTGGAAGAAAGGAAAAACATATGGGATGGGAAGAAAAAGGAGAAACAGTCAAGAAATGCAAATGACTCTCCAGTCATTAAGATAAAAATATTTGAACTGTAAAAGCAAAGGCCTCATTTCTATCTCAATTAAGATTTTTTTTTCTTGCTATGTTGATGCCATAAGCCAGTTTAAAGGCAAAGAATGTGTCAAATTGCATTAAAACTCCACCTAAACCCCGAATGGGCTGAGAATTTAATGCCAAGTTGGAGACAGTAGGATGAAGACTGAGAAAGTGGAAACTCTTTCTCCTACTCTGGAGGATTCTGGCTCTGCCTTAGAAGTCCAGGCCCAGATTGGAAGAACACTTTTCTGCCTTGGCTAACCCAGGCTCCGCAGCTTCAGGAAAGGTGACAGTTCCAGGGCAGCATCAAGGATCCCTGTGGGTCTGGAGTCTGCACAGGTCCCGAAGCTCCAGGGCGTCTCTGCTCTTCCTCCCCTGCACCGTGTATCAGTGCCTGCTGTACTCTCCAGTGGAATAGTCTGTCCGCGGCTATCAACCTTTCTTGATCCTCTCTCCCCCTACCCCTTTGGACCAGAGTCTGCATCCCACGGGGAAGGTCAGAATTAGGCCAACAGTTCTGCAACAGGCATAGTGATTGCATTTCCAGAATAAATAAAAGTAGATAGTTTTAGAGGCATGACTATAATAATACACCTTTTGAAATATGAACCAAATGAAAATGTAACCAGAGAAGAACAAAAAGGGAATTTGGATCTAATCCTTTTCCTCCTCTTCAATGTATCACAATGATTTCAACCCCTTTTATAAAAAGATGCTAAAATGTTTCCAAAGCTGTGAATACAAACCTTCCTTCCACGGTTCTGCGCTTCTTCAATAATTTTCTTCACTTCATCTGCATAAGCACTGGCTGGGTCTGCATGGTTTTCTCTGTATTTTCCTCTGTAAATATCTGGAGCTGGTGCCTGAAAACATCAAAGGAGACCGTTTCTCAGGGTTTGCCTCTGACAAATGAACTTCAAAAAAAGAGCATGTCAGAAAGGTGACCATGTGAATTTAAGTGACTTTAGTTTCCTTTGTTCATTCTCCTTAACTTTGCGGAATTCTGTAAAGAACTGAAATGTTTGCATTGTGAACAGGAGCTTGGATTTGCTCCAAGACCCTTATAAGTCAAGACTGCATCCCTATTCACATAAGGAACATATTCAAATCAACAAGTGGGACCATATTATTTGAATATTTCATTGATGAAAACTGCATTAACTATTCTATATTGAAAATAAACCAACACTTACCAACTATATTGCAAATTGTAATCATTCAGAAAACTAGAGTGCCTTAGCACTGATTCCCGATCTTAAAATTTTGAAAGAAGGTACTGATGATTCTCTTAAGAATGAAGGATTGATGATCCTTAATTAAAATAAACACACCAAATGAGTTTTACTGTTTCAACAACTTAATTGGTTTTTAAATTTTATTTTATTTACTATTTTACTTAATACATTTAAATAATAATTTAGCATAGAGAATGAAATTTAATTTTAAGACAGTAATACACACTTGATTCAACTCCAAATTTCGAGTTGGCATTAGTGATAGAAAAAATAATTGAAGATCAAGGGGCAAGAAAAATAAAATGATAGCTGCAAATATCAGCTGTCATTACCACCATACGAATTTGCCTACTGTCAAACTCCTCAATGGAGTTCAAACTCCACCCGGTCATTATCTAGCTCCTTGACTTGAGCAAGCCACATATCTGCTCTGGATCTTTGTTTCTTTCTCATGGCTTCATTTCCATGAGAGGATTGGATGGGATTATCGCTAGGCATTCTTCCAGTCCTAACATTCTGATTCTGGGAGGCTAAGATGCTCACCACATGGACAAATTCTTTCTTGACATCTTTGCCCTTTCGAAATTTATACGGGCTGATCTCTATTAAAGATGATAGGTGACCATGGTAAGCACTGAAAAGAAAAAGAACAGTAAGAAAAATCACTCACAGAAGGATGTTTTTCTAGTATATGAAAAATAGCATTGCATATTATCCAGGAAGAATCTCAACATTGGAGCCAGATTTAACTATATGGGGTCTAATTTTTCATAGCAAGACTGGCCATAAAATTTGTTGAGTTCTCCGTACTCATGTGATAAAACACATGGAAAGCCAAGTATGTATCCTCATAGACAATTTCTCTTTAGCAGGAAAAAAACAATTTCTTTGGATTATATTAAATCTGCTAAATTAGATAGTCTAAATGTGAAAAGTTATTTTCTACAGCTTCATGAAGAACTCCATGTGTGTATATCCTTTAAACGCATTTGATAGCACATTCCAGTAAATTTTAAAAACAACTTTATATCATAGAGTGGCTAAGGGTTTCTGTTTGGGATGGTTTCTAATAGACATCCAAGTGCAAATATTGGCAAATACCAGTTGGTAAGGAACAGGAGGTTTCTTCCAGAAGAACTAAGATTGAGAGGCGATCAGGTGGCTATCAAATTCATTCCTCTCACTTAAAATTCAAGTGGCTAGGATGTCCCTTTTCTGTTTCTTGCCCAGAGATATAATTGGGTAATCTGGACAAGAAATTCTAAATGGCCCATGCATAAATAAAAGGAGGAGGGAGGACTCCTTCCAGCATGGCTAAGACGCGCTACAAGGCCACACTACACGCTCAGAAGGAATGAAGCATCTGCCAGGCCCAAGCTGGCCTGGTACCTTAATACATAACAAAAATCATTGTGCCATATACCCACCCTCCTGTACACGCGCTTATGGTATTAGTATGGACAAGATCAATACAACTTTGTCCCTGAAGGAGCTGCTTGCTGAGAAGTCTTGCATCTAAGACTTACTGCTCAAGGGTGACCACATCTGGGTGGCCTCTGAACTGTCGAGCCAGGCGTAAGGCTAAGTCATTGGCTTCAGATCTATTAAAATAACACAGAGGAAGGGGACAATGTGACAGGAGCTCTTTTAAAAATACTTTCAAGTGTTAATTACAGAAGTTGTAAGATTCCAGTGATTCATAAATGCATAAAGAAACAAGTGGACATCCTCTCCTTGCCCACCCAGCAATCTCGCTTCACCTTCTAGTACAAGTTCCCCAGGTGTCCTCAATAAAGAATGGGGCATGGGGCTGGCCCTGTGGCCAAGTGGTTAAGTTCGCGCGCTCCGCTGCAGGCGGCCCAGTGTTTCGTTGGTTCGAATCCTGGGCGCGGACATGGCACTACACATCAAACCACGCTGAGGCAGCGTCCCACATGCCACAACTAGAGGAACCCACAACGAAGAATATACAACTATGTACTGGGGGGCTTTGGGGAGAAAAAGGAAAAATAAAATCTTAAAAAAAAAAAAAAAAAGAACGGGGCACATAGGAGAAACCCAATACAAATTAAGGATACGCTGCTCATTTCAAACCTGAGCCCAGATCTGCCACATCAGTCAGTGCCTAACTTTGAGGACACTAAGAAGCCGCTGTCACCAGGAGGAAGGGAGGCCGCGGGCCCATTGACTCGGCTACTAAACTGTGAGCACAGACCAATATTTGAGGAGCTCCTTATCTATAAAATGAAGGTCATATTTTTTCTATCTGATTTAGAGTGTAAATATACTACTCAGACACAAGGAAGAAACCAATCATTTGTGGGGTGTTTACTATCTGCCATACATCACACTGAGTGTTTTGCTTATATTTATTCTCATAACTACTTTGCAAGGCAAGTATTGCCATCTTCTTTTTATGGATGAGGAAACAGCCTCAGAGAGGTTAAGTAACCAGAATAAGTTCCCACAGCTGACAAGAGGCAGAGCCAGGATTCCGACTGAAGCCTGTTTAACTTCAAGATCATTCCTGGTACCACCCCAGGCTCTGCCACCTCCAGTCTTTGGTGACAGCACTCTTTGGGGCTAATCCTTCTTTGACAGTATAGGATTCTTTAGAAGCAAAAGTCAAATATTATCATACTTAATTTATGAAGGCGAGAATGCTTTATAATGACAAATTAGATCCTAAAATATCTTAATCCTTTGCAAAGAAAAAGAACAATGTTCTAGTTGTAAATTTGGTTTAAAAAAATCTCATTGAAAAGAGAAAAATGAATCACAGGGTCATAAAATTGGACATTTACAGAATTTCTAATAGTTTTAATACATGGACACATATACATCATTTTAATTTTTTATTTTATTTTATTTTTTTGAGGAAGATTAGCCCTGAGCTAACTGCTGCCAATCCTCCTCTTTTTGCTGAGGAAGACTGGCCCTGAGCTAACATCCATGCCCATCTTCCTCTACTTTATATGCGGGACGCCTACCACAGCATGGCGTGCCAAGTGGTGCTGTGTCTGCACCCGGGATCCGAAGTGGCCAACCCTGGGCTGCCGAAGCAGGAACGTGTGAACTTAACTGCTGCACCACCGGGCCGGCCCCCATATACATCATTTTTAAAATATGAGTTAATGTTGTATAGACAGGTTTCCTCCCAATACAATATTGCATTGTGAGCAATAATGTACTTTTTCAAAATGTACTTTTTAATGTCTACATAATATTCCATAGAATGCATATATAATAATTTGAATTTGCAGAATTTGAAAGTTGGAACACATTTATTCACTTGAATTTATCCCTTCCTTCTTTGTATTTGTGTTGGGGAAATGTGTTCAATTGTCCAAGAAGACAAATAAATCAAAAATCTTACAAAAGTTATATCTTGTTTAGTAGAGGTTTTTTTCCTTTGCTAAAATTTTTTATTCATGCTTTGAAAAAACCATCCGGGCTCATTGATCTTTAGCTCGGAACTCTGCTGCGGGAAGAGGTGAGTGCCATTTGACTAGTCAGGTTTTTCCACGTGAACACCAGACTTGAATCTTTCTGCCATAGTTATGACATGAGTATCTATCCTTTAGGGACAGTAGTGGGTGTGCTTTCCCACAGAAGCCACGGTAATAAAAACCTGAGTGGCTTGCACATGTTCATCATCAGGCTGTCGTAGGGGCGTCAAAAGCCTCAGATATGCTGTCAGGTGTCCCATCTACAACAAGCTCATGGAGGAAGCAGAAGAACCAGAAGGGCCAGATCCCCAACGTGGGGTCACTTAGCAAATGGCAAGAATCTCAGGAAACGTTTTTAGACATCTGTGCTCCACCACGAATCAAAAAGAGTGTGTGGGAGAGTAAACTAGGAGAGTGGCGGGAACGGGGAGGGTGGGGAGCCCGGAAACTTACCCTGAATTTGTAAAATAGCAGACAGACAGCTGCTCCGGCAGGGTCGCTGCGAGGCGCTTGGCGTACTCCACGATGTTGTCGTGCAAGAATCGAGAATTTGTGTTGAGCACTTCCATCTGCTTGAGGGCAGCTTTGACCACTTCAGGGTGACAGTGTCCCACTAAAGGTTAGAAGACAAAAGCCCAAGACATTAGTTACCATTCTAAAAGTCTGGGAAGCGAGAGGATTCTGAAGTGAGAAAAAAAAAGAGTTGAGCTTCTTTCTCTCCCACATTTTGCTACAACTTTTCCCTGCCAGGACGACCGGGCGGCCGTTCAGCCAAGAACTGCAGCCACTGCAACTCCTGGGACAAATATTGCTGGTGCCAAGACCGCCTTACTGGATAAACATATCGCTCAAGGTTCAACAAAGACAGGACACTGACCGTGGGCGACATTGTTGATACAGTCCAGGTACCGCTCGCCTTTCTCGTCAAACATGTACTGCCGCTGGGCTCGCACTATTTTGATGGGATCCGCAGCATACAGAACTTTGCAAGAGGGCCTAGAGATAAGGACAGGAAACACTTTGGTCTGGTAGGACTGCTGGGTGTTTTTCCTTCTCCGTGAAGGTCACCATCAGTGGAAAATTACAGTTACATAAAGGAAAGGAAAACACCACCTGGGTGACACACGTTTTTAAAAATTTCATGTCAGCCTGGAAACTTTTACCTTAATCCCCATTCGTGACACTGCTCACATTTTTTTCCACTTGTTTTATTAAATTTGCCATGATTTGACAACTCTGTTTAGAGGCACATGGATCAACTCTGATACCTCTAATTATGCAAACCAATAAGTAATTTTCCTTTGGGGAATTTTGTTCTACCAGGAAAACAAATCTTTTTTTCCTGACACTTACTGTGTGTCAGGAACTCACAATATTATAAATATTATCACATTTGATCCTCCCAACAATCATATGAAATAGGGGTTATTATCATGCTCATTTTTGTGGGTGAGGAAACTGAGGCACAGAAAAATTAAGAAACTTGTTCCAGGTTACACAGCCAGTAGACGAGACAAGCAGAGTTGGACAGCAGACTGTCTTAAGCCACAGCCCAAGGAAGTGCATGCCTGCTGCTTTCTCTCTCTCTCCTTCTAATCTAATCTATAAAGAAATACATAGTACTAAAAGCTAAATACAAGCAACTTGGTGTTAAATACAATGAAGAAGACTTTCTATAAGAGATCATTTCCATGCTTTTTGAGTGGTACGTGTTTTGTATCAAGTGGATTTTCCATCCTTAAATAATGAATCCAATTATTCCACTAACCTCTTAATCCACTCTTTTGAGCATAATAAAAAGTCATCCAACATACTAAAATTAATTGTATTTCTGTACACTAACAAAGAAATAGCAGAAAGAGAAACCAAGACTACAATCCCATTTACAATTGCAACAAAAATAATAAAATACCTAGGAATAAATTTAACCAAGGATGTGAAAGACCTGTACACTGAAAAGTATAAAATATTGTTGAAAGAAATCGAAGAAGACGCAAAGAAATGGAAAGATATTCATGTTCATGTCTTGGGAGAATTAACATGGTTAAAATGTCCATACTTCCTAAAGCAATCTGCAGATTCAGTGCCATCCTTATCAAAATCCCAATGATATTTTTCATGGAAATAGAATCAAGAATCCTAAAATTTATATGGAACACCAAAAGACCCCGAATAGCCAAAGGAATCCTGAGAAAAAATAACACAGCTGTTTGTATCACACTCCCTGATTTCAAAATATTCTAAAAACCTATAGTCATCAAAACAGCAGGATACTGGCACAAAAACAGACACACAGGTCAATGGAACAGAATCCAGAGCCCAGATATAAACCCACACGTCTATGGACAGGTAATTTTCAACAAGGGAGCCAAGAACATAGAATGGAGAAAGGAAAGTCTCTTCAATAAATGGTATTGGAAAAATTGGACAGCCACATGAAAAAGAATGAAAGTAGACCATTATCTTACACCATACGCAAAAATTAACAGAAAATGGATTAAAGACGTGAATGCAAGACTTGAAACCATGAAACTCTTAGAGGAAAACATAGGAAGTACATTTTGATATCAATCTTAGCAGTATCTTTTTGAATATCATGTCTCAACAGGCAAGGGAAACAAAAGAAAAAATAAACAGATGGGACTACATCAGACTAAAAAGCTTCTGCAGAGTAAAGGAAACCATCAACAAAAGGAAAAGACAATCCACCAGCTGGAAGAAAACATTTGCAAATCATATATCTGACAAGGGATTAATTTCCAAAATATATAAAGAACTTATATAACTCAACAACAAAAAAATGATCAATCCGATCAAAAAATGGGCAGAGGATATGAACATTTTTCCAAAGAAGATATACAGATGGCCAACAGGTACATGAAAAGATGTTCAACATCACTAATTATTAGGGAAATGCAAATCAAAACTACAATGAGACACCACCTCAAACCCATCATAATGGCTATAACTAACAAGACAAGAAACAAGAAATGTTGGAGAGGATGTGGAGAAAAGGGAACTCTCATACACTGCTGGTGGGAATGTAAACTGGTGAAGCCACTATGGAAAACAGTATGGAGATTCCTCAAAAAGTTAAAAATAGAACAACCATATGATTCAACTATTCCGCTTCCGGGTATTTATCCAAAGAACATGAAAACACTAATTCAAAAAGATATATGCACCCCTATGTTCACTGCAGCAATATTCACAAGAGCCAAGACTTGGAAGCAACCTAGGTGCCCATCAAGGGAAGAATGGATAAAGAAGATGTGGTATAGATACACAATGGAATACTACTCAACCATAAGAAACAATGAAATCTGGCCATTTGTGACAACATGGATGGACCTTGAGGATATTATACTAAGTGAAATGAGTCAGAGGTAGAAAGTCAAATACTGTATAATCTCACTCATAAGTAGAAGATAAAAACAACCACAAACAATCACATAGAGACAGAGATTGGATTGGTGGTTACCAGAGGGGAAGAAAGGAGGGAGGAGGGCAAAAGGGGTGATTAGGCTCATGTGCACCGTGATGGATTGAAATTAGTCTCGGGGTGGTGAACATGATGTACTCTACATAGAAATTGAAATATAATGATGTACACCTGAAATTTATATGTTATAAACCAATGTTATCACAATAAAAAAAAAGAAAAGAAACATCACAAAGGTTTGTGAAAGATCACATTTAGAGACTAAAACTGAATATATTATTTTTATTTTGGTGATTTTGCTCGCACAAAAAATGCCACATATATTGGAGGTAGTTTAGAGGGTAACTGGATACTTATATATTAAATCGATATGCAAGTTTTTAGGAAGTATTTTGATTATTATAAATAGGTAATGTTAAATGTTAAAATTGCCTAAGATTAAGCATCATCAGCTCAAATAAACTAATAGTGAATGAGAATTTTTATTGGTTCAAACTGAGCTGTTAGTTTATACCTATGAGTTAAAACCCAAAGAAAACCTTTGTTAGGAATGTGGACTGAACACTGCAGACTTCCCCTTGTCACTCAGACTTTAGATAGAATTCCTCCAGGCAGTGCACGGCTACATTACTCCTTTCACAGAATTTGTTCTGCTCACATCAGAAATCATTAGGTTTTCATCGGAATCTATATAGGATTGAAAGCTAACATAAAGGAGTGGTGATTAGAAAAAGAGAGGGGGTGATGGGGTCATGAGGGAGGAATCTGACCACTCTGACCCTACTTCGGGGTGGAAAGAGATCTAACTAGGCTCCTATACCATCTAGAAACCTCCCGGGTGGAGATCAGGAGATCTGGGTGAGAACTGCCCAGCACTTCTCCCAAGAGGATGCTGGTTCTTTTCTTTCCCTGTCGCCTAGTCCTCTCTGGCGCCCACTCCCTGCAGCACTCGCTAATTACCTGCGCACATTGCAGACTGCTGATTTTACAGAGGCTAGGGGTCGCAAAGCGCCACAACCTGCACTCATATTTACATGCACCTTTTTAAAAACCAGATCACACTTATTAATCTCACTTGCTCGCTCCTGTGAAGCAGAATGTTATTCCTACTTTCATACAAGAGGAAATCAATTTGACAAAGGTCACACAGGTAACATGACACCCTCTTAGAACCAGAGCCCAGGTCTGACTTAATGCTCAGTCCAGAAGGCTCACCAGTAGATTCCCAAGTTGTTCATACCACGGGCAAAACAAGGTGGACTGGAGAGAACACTGCAGTTTTAAATTCAAGAGAAGGCACAGCTTGGGAGATCAAGGTGGATAAGTGGCATCTTACCCTTAGGAAGGTGTTTTCAAAGTTTTTCTACTGGCTGGATTAAACCTTTACCTCGTAACCAAGCATGCAAGAAGAAAAGGTTAACTTTAAACAAAAGTTATCAGAATTTGTTTTCATAGCCATCGTCAAAAATATTTCTGAGTTCCTAGTTTTGAGAAACTTTCGAGTTGGTAGGAGTAGCGGACAGCTGCCCATCTCCCTCCCAGCGCCCATCCCTGGAATGTTCTCCTTCTAGGGCTATTAACCCTCACGGGTCAAGTGCGCCAGCCGGGCGGCAGCCCCCACTCCTCCGCCAGCTGCAGACACCGCCCCGGGACCCAGCCGGAGCGTGCTAGGAGGCAGCCCCGGCGTGCAGAAGCGCGGCTGGGCGGTGCGGGCGGCAGCGGCGGCGCGCGTGCGCAGGTGCGGCAGGAGGGCGGGCAGAGGCGGCGCGCGTGCGCAGGTACGGCAGGCGGGCGGGCGGGCAGCGGCGCGCGTGCGCAGGTGCGGCAGGTGGACTCGCGGAGGGCGCGCGCGTGCACAGGTGCGGCGGCCGAGCTGGTGGCGGCGTCTGACACCTGGCAGGCGGCGCCCTCGCGGAGCGTCGGGCGCCTGCTCGAGGCCCCCTGCGGCGTTATTTCGCCCTGTCTGCGCTCTCCTCGGGGCTGGCGCCCTTACCCGATGTGCTTCCTCCTCAGCGCCAGGGTGTCCTGCTTGCTGTACAGCTCGCACATGGTGGCGGGGCTGTGGGCGCCCCTCCGAGCCGGCGGACCGCCTCAGTGCGGGCCTTTCCCCCTGCTGACCCTCGCCGGGTCCCCAGGCCCTGGGCGTTGGAGGTTCCCGGTGGCATCAACTAGCAGGGTCATCTCCCTTTTAAGACTTGCTCAGCCTTTGCCCTTCGCCAAGCCCCACCCTCCTCTTGCCTCCGCCGCCTGGGGCCGCTTGGCGAGTCCCTGCACTAACCACTCGTTCGCCTCCCGCCCCCGCGCCCGGTCCAGCTGGCTCTTGCTCCTGCCTGCTGATGCCCACCCCCCTCCCCAGCCCTGTCCCTCTAACCTGTCTTTGATTCTCCTCACTGTGCCTGGTCTTGCCTTTCTTCCTCCTCTGCCTATGAATGCCTTCCTTCCCACTTTCTTTCTTGTTTCTTTTTAGTGTATCCATTATTTTCTCGTAAACATTCAAAGATAGGCGCTCTCTGGACATATCAAGACTCTCCCGTTGGCTCCATTCTCACATTGAGCATAACCTATACGAACTCTACAAAAGTGACAAGTCACGTGGACTAAGATACTATCAGGGGCTCAGCCTATTTCTTGTGAGTGATTGATAATATATACAGTTTTTTCAAACACCCTCTGTAGCAATAATTACACTTCTAATTTATCTAGTGCTGCACAGATTAGAAAACATATTCATGTGACTTATGTGGTTCAGTCCTCAAAACAACCCGAGGGATGGGCATGGGAATTATCATTCTATTAACATATGTCTACCTGGTGGTGCACTTGGAATTCATTCCTAGGTTTCTTGACTTCCTTTAGGATGATCTTCACACACTCATCAAATTTGAAGTTGAATACATGGACATGGGAACTCTAATTAACTACAACATTAAATCATAAGTTATTTTAAGAACTAGAGATCATCTGGTTTAAGCTCTCTGTTCTCTAGATAAGCACCGTGAGGCACAGGAAGGGTCAAGTCTTATTCAAGGTCGTGCAACTTCTTAGCCATAGAGTTTAGATTAGATCATTTCATTCTTCCTATGTTTTGAAAGGCAGCAGAGAAAACTTTTTACCTATAACACACTTGATAAATGTTTGCAAATAACTTTTCTCTTGAATAAAGTTATTTACCTTAATGCACTGGGAGAGGAATAGAATTGCGTTGTCTAGGACAAGTTGAGAAGTGGAGTCCTAGGACGAACAGCGTGTTAAGAATTCTAGGAGTGATAAATGAAGGGCAGAAGGCACTTAGGAAACTTGCAAGGAACCCCAATCACGTAATCTCGTTCTAGTTCCATACTTGAAAGATGCTGCCAAATGTACATTTACTCTCAAACCACCTGGACCTGGCAAAGTTGCAGATAGTCATGCTCCTTCCGTAAACCTCCTTTAAATATGCTTTAACATACGTTCTTTAAATAATGCTGGGCGAAGAGTCTTGGGTCCTAGATCTGGTTCTTCATAAACTAGCTGTGCTTCTTGACCCTTTGGAGGCCAAATTTCTTTGTATTTTTAAAAAAAGAAAAGAACTCTCTCTGCTCAAAGCATCACAAGTAGAGTTTAAAAGAGATTATGATTGTGCCATGTGCGGCAGGATTATTGTTAAAATCTCAATGCTCCTATCTTCTTGCTGCCTTTTTCTTTTTAACCTATCTCTTAGCAGATTTGACCATTCCTTTCTCCTTGAAAGACTTACTCTTTTGATTTCTTAATACTGTGACACCTTCCTGATTTGCCTCTTCTCTTACTCAACATTTAAATGCTGGTATCTCTCAGGGTAGGGTCCTGTGACCTTTATTTTCTCTGCTCTCTTTCCCAAGGTAAGCCACAATGATTCCCTTGGATTTAGAACCCATGAGGGTGCCAAATTTACTCCTCCACCGAGATCTTTCTCCTCAGTCCCAGACTCTCATATCCACTTCCTTTCTTGACATCTCCACTTAGAGGTCTCATGGACACCTGAGACTTAATGAGTCCAAAGTGAAAGCTTTGATCCCCACCCCCACAACTATTGCCTCCAATAAGCCCCCCATCACCAGAGATTTATTCATTCATTCAAACATATCAAATACTCAGTGTATGCCACTGAATGTTCCAGTTGCTGCAGATAAGCAGTGAACTAGACTGCATGATCCTGTCCTCAGTGTCTCCTCCTCTAGGTCTGCACTGTCCAGTACAGAGCCACTAGCCACAGGTGATTCTCAAGGACTTGGCGTGTGGCTAGCAGAACTGAGATGTGGGGTCAGTGTAAAATACACACTATATTTTGAAGACTTAGTACAAAAAAAGTAAAATGTCTCATTAATTTTTTATACGGGTTACTTGTTAAAATAATATTGTGGATACATTGGATTCAGTAAAATATATCATTAAAGTCAACTTCACCTCTTTTTAAATGTGGCTGCTAACAAATTTAAAATTGCATATGTGCAATACTTTTCTGTTGAACAGCATTATTCCAGAGGGACAAAATAAACAGGTCAACACATCGATTAACATGATAATGGCTTAAGTTGCTCTAATTGTGGTAAGGATCTTGAAGGAAGTAAACTGAGCGCAATGATACTTAACCAGAAACCTAGGAGTCTTGGATAATTCTTATCTTTTCCTCATTCCCATGTCAAAGTATTTTTAAGCCCTGTTGACTCCACTTCAAAATACATCTTAAATCCATCTGCTACCACCCTATCTGTGGCCACCCTCTGTAAGCCTTCTGCATCTCGCCCAAGACCTATGCAAAGCGCTCTGTAACTCACCGCCGTGCTTCCCACCCCGTGTAGCATGACCAGGTCCTTCCCTCCTTGAAGCCCATCGATGACTTCCAGCTCGCTTCTCCAGGCTCACTTTAGGACCAGCCCTCTCCAAGACACACATCTCACCTGGTCTCCCTTGTCCTTCATTACTTCAAGGACATTGCATTTGCTTCCGTTCAGTTTAAATGTCACAGACAGCCTCAGAGAGGTCATTCCTGACTACTGTCTCAGATAGTTCTCAATTAATAATCCCAAACCTGCCCCAATCCTCTGTCATAACCCCCTCTTCGCTCGGTCTTTATCCGTCTTGTTCGTCACTGTGCCCCGGCACTAGCACAGCACTTGGCATGTGGTAGACTGATAAACATTTGTTGACTGACTGACTAAAAGGGGAAACACATTTAAAGACTTAATACCTTGTTTCGAAGATGAAAGTTCTTAAGAGCCGTATAGCCTTTGAAGCTGGTCTGTCTACATGCCTGTTGACTGGCAAGTTACATTTTAACAATTTCTTCAGGAGAGAGATACTTAGACTCATTATCTTTTATGGGAAAGCAAGTTACTGGTGCATAAAAGATCATTTTCCCATTGTTTACCTTATTTCACAATGTGGAATATATAATATTAATTAAATACCAAGGACCATCTTTAACTAAAGAACAGACACACAATAGCACCAAAATACAGGTGAATAAAAGTCAACAGTTCACCCTGTACAATGCTTTGTCAAAACACAAATTCTAAGGTATTTCTTGGGCTATTGTCTCACATGCTTCTCCATTGTCTGACCATTTGGGAGGAGTGGGTCCTGGAGCACCTTTCTTTCCCGAATGGTGATGTCTGCTCAATTTTGGTCCTGACCCTATTGATTGGCTCACCCATTGAGTGAGTTCTGGCCTGAAGGTCACAGATTTCTCAACAATCTAGGCTTGGCCAAACAACTCATACTTATGTGTGATTGACATGAGAAGGCACAGCCCACACGAGCTTGGGACAATAAGAATTCCACTCAATAGTCCAATAAGAAGAGTCTGAATGGCAGGTTTTAACTTTTTCGTCAGCAAGAAACATGCAAAGGTGAGTGAGCTGTATGTCCCCAACCGCAGAGGCTCTCCAGCTTATTACACGACACTCAAGATGGAATGTGGGCATTTGGCTAGCTGCTCACTATTTCCTCTTCCCGGTCCTGCCCTGACCTACCCCACCCTTCATGAGATTTGTCTTTTCTGAATTCATACATCATCTGGGACAAATGCTGGGTGTGGTGCTTTTCTGACATGACGTTGTCAGCACGTGTGTATAACTATGTACACAGTGCCTCACTCATGTCAGAAGGAGCCTGACCCGCCCTCCTATCCCTGGGAGTTCCAGACTACTTTAAAGGAGCCATTTGACCACACTCAATATGTGTATGTGTGCCTCCTGTATACTGATAGCACACCAGGATCATACAACCTATTCCTCTCCTGCCTCCATCCTGAAGTTCCCCCTAAAACTAAGCCCAGATTTGAGTTTGTGTGTGGTGGGGGGAGGCTTCCTGTGGGGGAGGAGCAGGTTCTGTTTGAAATACCCAAGGCTCATCCTACTCTTCCTGGAATCTGTAGCCAGGCTGAAAGCCACATGAAGACTTAGGGAGCTGACTACTGACACCTGTAGCTGGTGATGCGATGCCCGTGCAGACAGGGATCCAGAATATGGCTTCAGTTTATTTCTAGTGAGTTTTCTCCTATTGTCAAAGGGGTCCAGAATATGCCACTGTGGCATAGAAATTATTTTGAGCTGTAGGCATCTGAAAATCAACAGATGCAGGAAGAGGCTTTTTTCCTGATCTCCCCATATCTGCCTACAAGCAGAACCTCTCCAAAGAACTCAACTGGCTTAAATCCTCCTTGCAGCTTCCCGACCAGGGAAGATGGACTCTTATTACGTGGCTAAGACACCACCTGAACAGACACTGTCCCTAAACTATCATATCTGCCGTCTGTTCTCCTAAGGCCCACTTATCTTCCCTAAAAGTCATTTGTTTGCTCCTAAGTGTCATTTCTTGCCCTCCCCTTCCCCTATTAAGACGGTATATAAGCTCCAAATTCTAACTGTTCATTACATTTTTCTGTGTGCTTCACCATAAGCGAATAAAAATTTGTCTTTTCTCCTGTGAATTTGTCTTTCATCAGTTTAATTTGCAGGCCCCCAAGAACTGAACCTAAGTGATGAGAGGAAAAGCTTTTCCTCCCAGACAGTGTCAACTCTCTAGAGCAAGTTGACAAACCACAGCCCACGGGGCAAATCCGCCCATCAAGGGTTTTCTTATGGCTCATGAGCTTAGAATGGTTTTTACATTTTTAATGGTTAAAAAAAATTAAGGGAAGAATTATGTTTCATAACATGAAAATTACACGA